TCCCCACTGAAGCTAGAGGCAGAGTGGTGGCAGAGAGCAGAGGAAGTCTTGGGAGCCAGGAATGCAGACTGACAGACAGTCATCAGAAAGCCATCTTTGGAGGACAGTCCTCAGTGGTACTGCTTCTTCAAAGTTGGCTGAAACTGAAGAATCTGGTCTCTTGGGAGCCCTGGAGCTAGAGTGCTAATTGCATCCATAATACCCTCTTGAGCAGCTCAGAGTAAAAATTAATGACTGACAGGATCTAGGGCACCTGAAAGGCTCATTCTTGTCCCTGAATGGGTGGGTAAATAGAGGCACTGGTGAGGAAAATTGCTTTACCAAGACCATATACTGAGCAATTGGTAGAGCTGGAGAAGTCCTAGCATCCTCATCTATGCTGTAACCACAAAGCTGTCTCTGATCGCTGGTAAGACATGGCCATTTGGTCTCCAGAGGGGAGCTGAGCCAACAAGAACCTGGCCTTGTGGGGCCACAGGCTGACTGGACACAGTGATGTGGCCTGGCTGATTGCTTCAATGTGCAGCCTCCTGCTAAAGAGCCTCATGCACCACTGTGGTGTAACTTGCTGTCCTGCATCTCCCACCGCCCAGCAAGGGCGAATGCAGAGGCCTGCCACACTCGAGGCTCAGGTGAATTCAGCATGACCAGCTGTGCTGCACAGCAGCCTGAAAGGGTAGCTGATTGAGGTGGCACAATTGTCCTCAGTATCCATGGGACATACGTCTATTTCCTTTTGCAGTATTCTTTCCCATTCCCTTTACTCCTGTTCCTCACTTGAAGCCCAGATGACCAGCTTAATGCACCAGCTGAATCCTGAGCCCTGCTGATCTCTGACTTTCATGAAACTCCATGTTCATGGGGAGCCTGAAGTGCTGCTGAAACAGAGGTACAGAAAAAGGAGGCATTGAAAATGGTGACATGTTAAAGAAACAGCTCTTCTCTAAGCTACTTTGATCAAGGGCTATTGGAGATAGATGTAATGAGATTGAAGACGGGTAGCGACAGGACAGGAAAGAAGATTTATGAGCAGCTTGTGGAGGAGTAGTATGGACTTTCTGGGACTTCCAAAGAAGATGAGGGACAAAACACATCCATATGTATTCAAGGGCCAGGGGGATGTTTCTGGGTATTAGAGCAAGGAAAAATGCTGTCCCTAATAAACAATAGTTTCCAGGGGACCTGAGGAGAAGATCTGAAAATCTGTGTTGAAGTTGGCAAATACTTTTGGCTGAGAAAATTGTAATTTTTTTCCCCAAAATGTACAAGCATTTTTTTAAGGCATCTTTGGAACAAATCTTTTCATCTTTCACTTTGAAATACCATTTTCTTTTCAAGTCTGACCCAAAGTAAAACGATAAATGTTAAGAAATAACCTGAAAATGAAGCAAAATATTTTGTTTCAGGTCAAATGAACTGTTTCGCATTGACCAAAGCCCCGGATCACTAGTTTTGCCTCACCCTGAACTGAATTTTGCAATTTTTCTCTTCAGCTGCTGAGTCCTCAAGCATGTTACCCAGTTTATCAAGGCTGTAGCAAGGAACATAGGGGGGCATAAGGCAGGCTAGGGCTGGAAGGTCACCCAAATCCCTGGAATTGAGAAACCTACTGAAAGGAGGTTTCCATCTAACTGGAGATGGGCAATTGCAGCAATGACAGGCTTTTTTAGCTCCTTCTCCCAGAGCTCCCAACAAGCATTTCACTCTGACAAAATCAGCTTGCTCCCTTCTCTTCTGCCCTAATCTGTACCTTCCCCTTATCGCTGCAGCCCACAATTCCGAACCAGCCTTGCCCCAGTTTGCACCATTGTTACCCACTTGCCCCAGTTTGCACCATTGCAAACTTGCACCAGTTTGCAAACTTGCACCAGTTTGCAAACCAGTTTGCACCATTGCACCAGTTTGCAAACTTGCCCCAGTTTGCACCATTGTTACCCACTCTAATATGCCCTTCAGTCTCACTTCTGCTACTGGGATCTTCAAGTCTCTTCCCCAGGTCTGACAGAGCTGCAGTAGAGCCCTCTTCTTTCTCGTAAGCCCTTCTTGGCCCAGAAGCGAGGCAAGCTGCCAGCCTGAGGCTTCTTCCTCCCCAGGAGGCCCTAAGACTGAGATATTTGGATGGTCCTTCATTTTTCTGCAGGGCTTTCTGGCCTTTGCTGCCTCAGCGTGCCTTAGGGTGGGCAGTTCCACTATGGTGGGGAGTGAACAGAGAGCTTGGTCTCATGTGCTACACGTCACCATAAGGATATGTTCAGGATAGACAAAATACGCAGAGATTTTAGCTGTGAAGCCTGAACAAATTTCTAATGAGGGTATGCAAGCAGATGGGGCGTGTAAGTAGCCAAATTTTGGTTGATTCTTGTGGGAATGCCCATCCTTGCACAAAGGGTACTCCCCTCCTGAATGTGAATGTCCAGATGTAATGTTTTGGGATGAAAGTTAGGTACAGTTATAAGCAACATGGCAGGCCTATGTATAATATTTGTCTAGATGTTGTTATTGAGAGAATCACTTTTAATTCCTGATATTATATAAAAATACTTCTGTACTTTATTGATATCATTTCAATTATTTGATTTCCGTATATAGGATTGCTATATTATTGTTATCAAATTCAAGTGTGAGCCTGGGTGTCCACAGGCACACAATGTTGCAGTTTCTATTTATTTTCCTAATTATGGTGTTTTTTCCTAGTCAAAATATCTTTCCTTTCCGAATGAGGAATTGTGGCATTTTGAACCTCTAGTAAAATGTTCTCTAACAACTTCCAATTATTTTTCAGATTTTCCTATTTAAATTTTTCCTCTTAGTCTGTTTCATTCATAATTATTTTTGGCTGTGGGAAGCTGGCTCTTTTGGGCTCTATGAATATTTATTCAGTGCTAGTTGAGACTGTTCTGTTTGTACATGACATATAATCAGGACTTGGTTGCTTGCAACAAGACAACAATTAATTGCATACAACAGCAAGTACAGTCTCTGTGTGTGAGAAGCAGTGCTACCCCAGTGAATGCTTTGGGTGTCCCCACTTCAACACAGATATTGAAGAAATGGAAAGGAAAAGGTTCCAAATAGATGCAAGGTCTTGAAGCCCGCCTTCTGTAGGTAGCTTGAGCTGCACAGCTAAAGAAGAATAAAAAATGACTCCTGCACAGTTTGTAAATGCCAAATGATAAGGGAGCACACTGGTAGCTGGGGCTCCTTACAAGCAGCCCAAGGCAGAACAAGGTCTAACGAATAGACGCTTTAGGCAGATGAAGACCAAAGGGGACCAAAGCAAATCTTTATAAAAGTTAAGAAATTTGCTGCTGGGATAATGACAGACTCTTTCAGTTCAGCCTGGATAACTGCTCAGCAGAATTCATGAGCAGTATCCTTGTATGAGGTTCCCTAGTCTGTCACAGCGGGATCAGTACAGGCAATCCTCAATGTCCCAGGCCTTACAGGCAGACCTTTTATCTCTTGCACCTTCTATCCTGTGCTTTTCTATTTCCCAGGTGGTGAGCTGGGGAAGATTATCAGCCCTAGGGGCTGCCAGTTGCAGCCCGTTTGAAACTAATAACCTGTAGTTTGATTTGATAATTATGAAATATGATCTATTACGGAAACAATGAAAATTGGTATCTGGTCTGGTTTCTTTAGGTAATAGTGAGTGTTCAGAGAAGTAAGTTTGCCTCTGGGTATGTGTACACATATGTGTGTGTACACACATGTGCAAACTCTTTTCTAAATGCACATACAGGAATTTCTGCTCATGACCGTGCTGAGTGCTGCACACAGTTACACAGTGCTGAAGCTCGTAGCAGTAAGGCGTCAGGCAAAAGAGGAGCAGATCGGCACTGTAATATGTGCATATCACTGGCATTACACAATATTATGGGATGATTCTGATTCAGGGTCACTCAGCTGCCTTCACAAGCGTCAACATAGGTAGCTGAACACATGGGATAGTGCTTTTTTTTCATCTCTGGGAGATGAAAATGCCTCTATTCAGGGTAGTGCAAATTCCTTTTCTGTAGGAAATTCTGACATTTTGGAAATGAACATTGTTGAAATGTCAGTGTCTTTTGTGAAAGGGGTTTCAATGAATGATTCAGTAAAGATGAAGTGTTTCATTTAGACTGAGATTAAATTGTTCTAACTGCTATAGATAGAGTAAGTTTACAACACATATATCAAAAGCAAAATTAATACTAGTATCTCATTCTGTGTAATAACAGCGCTTTGAAGAAACTGCATTTTCCGGCAGAAACTGTCGTGTTGAAAGGAGTAACAGCATGAGCACAACATCTGGAGGTATTTCTCATGGTCAAGTGGAATAAGACCATACAGGTGCAATTTACCTTTGCAGAAATGGCCAACTTAAATCTTCTGCCCTCCAAGCTCCTATTTTTGGGGGGTCCCAAGGGATTCCAGTGATTTCTGATGCTGGTGGTTAATTTCACATTTTCAGAAGTGGGGCCACTCCTTCACTGACACACAGCCACGTGCTGATTGTTGCTATGTCTGAGCGCGCCTGCTCAGACTGCTGTACACACTCGTGCATGATGGGACACCCCAGTTTCTGGGACAATTGCTGCCTTTTTGAACTTCCATTGCCCAGGCTCATTGCAGTCCCAAAAGCAAAGTGACCAGGAATTGACATGTCTCTGGACTGCTGACGGCTGTGAGGAGACGCTGTATACAGAAAGGTGAATTAAGCTACTTGTTTGTCTGGCTCTGTTCTGCTGTAAGGTGATAATTTTTTGCCCCCTTTGGCATAATGGATTGGCTCCTCTTTTCTTTTGGTATCTATCTTGCCTGTGCACCTAAAGGTAATATCCTTGGTCGAGCTCCTACAACTCCAGCAACAGTTAAACCCTCTCCCATCTACACAGCCCCATCCCAGACTTTAACTCCAATGACAGGCAATACTAGGGGTTGTTACCTAAGCCACAGGCACCTCTCCAGCTTGCCCCTACCTGACCGTGCTCCGCTCTGTGTGATGGCTCTATACTTACAGCTCCTCCAGGAAGCGCAGGTGGTGGAGAGTCCTGGGCTGCAGCCTGCTAATGTTGTTCATGCTCAGATCTCTAAGAAGGAAGAAAGACAGAAATCTCTCATCAGTTACTTTCAGTTATTCTATTTCCATAGAATAAATCCCTCTGCCAGGCTCTATGTCACTTCTCCGCTTCTAAGGGAGAAAACATTTCAGAGAAAGAAGCTCTTTCAAGCTTCATCGTTAGCATCTTATCACAGGCCAGGCTCTGCCTGCAACATCATCCTGCAAAGTAGATGGAAGGAAGTAACTGCAGTGAAGTAATCACTTCTTCAGGATGGTCTACCTGAGCATCTCCAGGTTAGGGAGCAAATTATGACATTTCCTAACAGCACAATGAGTATTAGTGTCTTGCACATTCCTGGGACTGGACAGGAAGCCCAGTGATGCTGGAATAATACACTATGTCTTTGGGCCCAAAAGCATCTTTCTGTCACCACTAGTCATGCCAGCCCTCACAGGCAACTTTTCCAGGAAAGCGATACACAGCTGCTTTTGAGGATACAGCAAGCTGTGGAAGAAGGGGTGCATCCGATCACCAAGAATTAGGGCTTTAAGCCTGTTCTGTGGGTGACAGCGCGTAAGTTTAGGGTGTGAGGGGAATCCATCTGATTATGCCTGTCTTAGTCTTTGTGATCTCCAGCTAAAGGCTCACTTTCTATCTGGTTAGGGTCTGACAAACTGGCAGAGACAGAGGCTGGGCAGGTACCCAAAGGGTCCAGGACGACTGCTGAGTCTCAAACCCTTAGCCCATATAAAGTCACTGCATGTTGTCCACTGCAGGAGTTAGAATTCTGGGGCTGTTGTGGTCTTGGGATATAAGGGTAGTGAAGACTGGAGGAAGCTTGCAAATTGTGCATTAGACTGGCTGATAGTTGAAAAAACAAGGATGCTTCTGGGCTCAGAGACTCTTCAGGAGGTCTGATAGTAGCTGCAATCCTGCCCTCATGGGCTACTACATACAAAGGTAACAGCATTTGTTATTGCAGAAATGTAGAGCAAGTTGTGTCCAGGTGACTGCATGTGAGCGTCAGTTTTAAAACTATGAGGAACAATGAGGCTGAACCACAAGCTGGTGTATTTAAAAACGATGGAAATGAATGGGCCATCTCCCCTGTCAAGAAAAGCAATAAAGATGTCCTAGTCAAATGCCATATAAGGCACAGCTGGAGCTGTGTGAGGCAGGAAGGGCTATTTTTGGTCATTGTGTATATGCAGGACAAGACTTGGCTCCTTCAAACTGTAGACTAGATGGGAAAGACAGATAGGCCCCTCTCTCGTAATGTGAGAATAAGGAGGCACAAGATAAAAATGAATGGATTTTACTTTACTCCTTCTTCCAGTAAATCTCATGAGCCTATAGGAAGATATGACCAACCAATGTCAGTGGGAATCTCTCTCGGAGTTGTAACCACCAGAGGATGGATAAATGCATGAAGAAAGGGGGTTTACACCAAGGGCAAGAATTGAGACTAAGTTAAAAGCATGAAGAGGAAAGTGTCCCTCAACAAAACCCAACCATGTAAGAGGGAGCTCTCCAACCTGGCTGCTGTCTTCATGACACACTGACATTTTAACTGAAACCCTAACACATGACCCTGCAGCACTTGCTAGTGCTTCAAAGGTCACATATTAAATACCCTGGAGCATCACGGGCCTGCTTTGGGCCCTGAGTCAGAAATTGCTTCAATGGAAAATAAGTTTATGGAAAAAATATTCTATTTGCAAATTCTTTTCTAATTTTTTTGTATTCTTTAGCTAGAAAATTCCAGAGTTTTGCTAGTAGTGAAACTTAAAAAGTTTTGGGAGGGTGGGAGCTTCTTCATTTTGCACAGTTTTCCACAAAAAAAACCCAAGCATTTTGATTAGAACCCTTTGGCACTGGTGGAGACTGGATACACCTAGGGAAGGTATAAAACCTGCCACCACATTATTTTTGGAGGCATGTCCTGTGACAAGACTGGACAGTTTCAGGAGCTCTAGTTTAAGACACTCCTATCAAAGTTTATTTTTCTTTAAAATATTCCCATCTTCAAAAATGTAGTTGAAAAATCCCCAAGTGGCCTGAGAATTTGTAATTCTGTTGTCAGAATGAATGCAAAGTAAGATTACTGACTATGCTGTTTGGTGTCCAATGCTGTGCTTTATATTTGAGTAATACCACAATATAATAGAAGGATTAAAATATTGTTTTGTGCAGCTTCTATTTTTATTTTTAAATCCCTAAGGGCAGTTGCTACTTAGCACCCATTAAAACATCTTTTTTTTTTCTACATCAAAGGATCTCCTGTTTGTGTTGTAATGAGTAAGTCTGATATTTTGACATGTTGTGAAACAATGTAAAGATAATGAAAAATAATATAAAATAAAAGACTTTGAAACAAAACACAAATCTGAAACATGAAAAATTCACTTGAAATTCTGAGTCTTATTCCTTAAGTTGCCTTCTGCTGGCAATTCAGGGAATACATTTTGCTCGTCACAGAAGCCAGTTTTCAAATCTCATATCATTGTGATTTGGGTGTCCAGCCTTTCCTAGGTATGATGCGGACAGCAATCTGCCCTGCAGCCTGGGCTGCAGGGAAGACATCACAGGAGAACATGGCACTTAGCATCAGTCATACCCTGTGGCAGAGAGGTGCACAGTGTGCAGCTAGTAAGGGGGACAAAGATCTTTCAACCCCCCTCTTTCCTTCCTGGTAAATCTGTGTCTTCAGATAAAGCCATTCCCATTGATCAGTACCTACACTGCCTAACAAGAAACAAAATACACTGATTGCACCTGGAGTACTGTGTCCAATTCTGGGCTCCCCAGTCCAAGAGAGACATGGCTCTCCTGGAGAGAGTCCAGCGGAGGGCTACCAAGATGGTTAGAGGACTGGAGCACCTCTCCTAGGAAGAAAGGCTGTGAGAGCTGGGCCTGTTCAGCCTGGAGAAGAGAAGATTGAGAGGGGATCTCATCAATGTGTACAAGTATCTGAAGGGGGAGTGTCAAGAGGATGAGGCCAGTCTCTTCTCTGTGGTGCCCAGTGACAGGACAAGAGGCAACGGGCAGAAACTGAACCACAGGAAGTTCCATCTGAACCTGAGAAAAAACTTCTTGACTGTGAGGGTGACAGAGCATTGGAACAGGCTGCCCAGAGAGGTAGCGGAGTCTCCTTTCCTAGAGATATTCAAAACCTGTCTGGATGTGATCCTGGGCAATATGCTCTAGGTGACCCTGCTTGAGCAGGGAGGTTGGACTGGATGATCTCCAGAGGTCCCTTCCAACCTAAACGATTCTGTGATTCTGTGATTTCTTGAGAAATATTCCAAAAGGCAAAAGAGAAATACTATCACTCTATCCTTCTACCAACATCACAGCTTCACGTCACTTCATGAGTTTTTTCTTTCAATGGTCTGCTCCCTTCCCTCATCCTTTTGCATTAGTTCTCCAGTGTGATGTCAGAGTGGAATAACTCCCATGGGGCCCCACAGCAGCACGTCTAGCATGGTGGACATCACAGCTGGCTGGTGTGGTGGAGTCCCTGGACTGGCCATGGCATGAGGGTAGCATGGAGGTGATAGAGCAGGGCTAGATGGTGAGGAGGAAGACAGAGTGCCTCTGAGGCTGGAAGTGAACTTCCTGAGCATGGTCCTGGACTCAGTGATTTTCCTAGTCATAAAGGTAGGAGATGTTTCTCCACTGGCTGTTCATGCTTGTGTGAAAGCTGAGGCATACAATTCCTGCCTAAGTGATGTGGGAGTAAATGTTTGACTTATTACTCATGTAAAGATGTTGTTAACTTATTGATGTATTTTCCCAGGCTCATGCTATTCCTCTTAGTAAAGTTTCTTGTGATAGGTACATCCTCAGTGCATGCAAGAGTGGAAATACTTCCTGTCAAGGTAATCAGGGAAGTTATTTATCTCTTTGAACGTTTTGGGGGTGGTTACTTGAGCCAGCCTCAATTTAATTCATTTTAAAAGGAACCCATGGTATTTGAACTTGTCTTTTTTTTTTTTTCCAGAAACATCGGGCAGAAGGATTAATGATTCATGGATCCTCCGCCCTTTCTCAGCTCAGTCAATGACTTTGGCTTTTAAAAATAGCTTTCTCTTTTGAGTGACTAGCATCTGCCGGAGTCAAACAAACGTTGGATCACTCATGGCTATTGTCATTTACACTGCAGAAGCAACCACACAGATGGGGACCATGCCAAAGCAAGTCTTACACAAATCCACAGAAGCCATAATCCAGATCTCAAAGTCCCTTAAACCTAAAAGGAGTCAGAAAGGTAGGAGAGGAAATGGACAGGGTGGCAAAGCTTTACACTGGGTTGCAACATTAGACCAGGAACTGTCCAGTCTCTTGCCTTTGGGTTCAATGTCCTACTCATGAGACCACACTGCACTGGCACTTACAATACCGGAACAAGCCATCCGTATCCTATCCCAAAGCTCTCTTTTCCTCTTTCCCCAACTATTGGCCTGACAGTTGTTCCTGCAAGCTGTCAAATAACGATTGGAAACCTCTCATTGTCAAATTATTTGGTGTGGCTGTGGTCTGAAACACTGACAGTAGAGGGTCACAGATTCCCCACACGGAAACCCTGTTCTGGTCTTACCCACAGTTACCCACAAAACAGTGTCTTTTAAGGCCTCTTGCATTAGGTGTTCAAATTATCTGTTTTGCAATGGCACTGCACCAAAGCCATCATGGCTATAATTAGTGTGATTTAACACCCCCTCCTCAATTAATTCTAAACATTTATCATCAGTACTTTTAACTTGTACTTGCAGGAAAACAGAGACACAGTTCATTAAAACTGAGCCCATATGATTTAGCTTCAGACCTTAAAACTCCTCTGGCCCTCAAGGGGTTCCTTAAATTATTTGCTTTGATGTTGTCTTCTTTCATGAGCAACCTTTGATTATTAGCTGATTAGCTGGTCTTCCTTACCAAAAAACGATATGACACATATGTCACAGATCATGCTTTGGGTGCTCCAGTAAGATCATCTGTCACTGTCTCTACCAGTGCGGCAGGATGGG